TGCCGAATTTGACCATGCAGTTGATGGATTTTCAGTTCTGACAATAGTGAAGCGCATATCCGCGCAAACAAAAAAAACTTAATATCTGCCTGATTTATGGACATAAAGATTGTTGCGAGACAAGTGATTCAACAGAGTAACTACTGCCAGCGGTGCCGATAGCGGCCCTACATTTTGGATGAGCATAATGAAAGCCTGGAGATTCAACTAGGTGCTAAATGAAAGAATATGAACAATCTGGTGAAAAAAATGGAATTCATGTCATGTTTATAAAATTTTTACTTTTGCCATATTTGTTGTTGGTTATTGGTAGACGAGAATTCGTTGAGATGGTACACTTCTTTGTCTTTTCTTGTCTTGCATTAAAGAAAATTTGATTTTTGAAGTACAAAAAAAAAAAATTGTTTTTTAAAATTGTAAAAAAGCAGTCATCGAAACCGTAAGATTTCTTGTTTGCATAAAAAGAATTTCAATGAAAGCAACCTAATCTGAAGTTTTGAAAAACTATGTTTCTTAACTTCTTCTGATACATTAATAATGGTTGTAAATGCGTTGCGTATATATGAATTATATACATGATTTTTCTGTTGGAGTATGTTGGTCAGAGGACGATGAAATTGGGGACTGGTAAATTTCGAAAATACATTGGACTAAGGTCGTAACTGATTTATATCTTTGTATTGACAGCAATAATATAATATGAATTTTGTGGATTTTTTGGTTAAAAATTGCTTCTTTCTTGCAAGATCTTGTTGACCAACCCAGAAAATTTGCTTTTTTTTTCATTCTAATTGGCACCTCAGATTGTTTAAGTACAATTGTTATTTGTTGCTAGCGGCTTCATAGAAGCTGAAGCAAAATTTTTTTTGTATAGTGTTTGACTTTGACCGCAGTGGAGGGTACAATGATTTTGGTTTGCTGAAGACAGCAACTTTAAGATAAAATCTGAACTGATTAATTGTTGTTTAGCGATAGCAATTTCTGTTGCCAACTCATCTTAACAGTCCTGATAGATTTTTTGAAAAGTTTTTAAAAGAAGAAAAATCAAATTAAATATTAATTTTGGATTGCTCAATGCAGATTCTTATCACAGTTCTTTAAGCTGCAGTCAGAGTTTGGAGCAATTTTATACCGTAGTTTACTGTTCCGTCAAATGATTTGAACTGCTTCAACATTGCTGACTGTTCATATACAAAATTTTGACATCTTAGAGCATTTGAAGAACTGTTGTTTTTGTTTTTTTTTTTCTTTTTATAAATCAGACTAGTTCGGTATAACCAGGAAAAAGCTTAAGAAAAAGAGCTGTTCTGTTTACATCATTACAGGCACTAATTGAACTCATAATGTTTTCTTCTTGATAGTTTACTGTTTTTTTTTTTTTGATTTTCGGCTAATTCAATTGTTTATTATTAACTACACTTTCTTTAGGTGGTCATTTTTATCTGCATATATAATGGTATTTTAAAAATTTGTTAAGCAGTAAAGCTCTGCTAAAAATACTGGGTGATTTGGACCGTTTTTTTGCTGTAACATACAGAAAAAAATATTTTTGGTGTCATTTAGTGGTTATGAAAGCTTGTTTTGTTTTCAATAATTATTGGACATTGTTCATTGAATGGAAAACTTGATGGCTTTATGCAGTATTGGTAGCGTATTGACTTAATTGGACTAGCACTGCAAATAAGTTGCATTCTAGCAAAGTTTTGACATTATAGCCATAAAAAAGAAATGTTTTATAGAACGGTAATATCAATGAGCAGTAACTAGAAATATGCCTACTTTAAAAAAAAAAAAAAATTTTCCTCCTTAACTCATTGATATATTTCTAAAGTAATCATTTTAGGTGAATTTTTTATATATTTTTTGTTCTTAAAGCACATAGGGGAACTATAGTTACTGGCTTTTGAAGTTTTCTTATTTTAGATGCCTTTTTTGAGTAATATTTCCTAACAAATTGATTTTTTTTTTTTTTTGTATTCTTGACAACCACGATCTATTACGTTTGTTGAAAAAAAGAAAAATGAGATATATTTTAAAGTTTTGAAAAACTGCATGAGAACTGTATTCATTTTTTTTTTTTTTTTTTT